GATAACGACCTTGAAAAAAAATTTTAAAAATCTGGGAGAATTTTATAATACAGATTTCAATGTAATAGAACTTTTTTATCAAAATATGTGACAGCAAAATGTTACTCAGCAGTAGAAAAGAAATTAAACCTAAAACTCCATTAGAATTTCTTACTTTTATAATCAATCTCGAATGGAGAAGATGTTTTTCCAAATCTGAGAGCGGCATTTCAAATACTCCTGACTATCTCAGTATCAATTGCTAGCTGCGAACGTTCATTCAGCAAATTAAAATTAATTTTGACAGATCGCCTAAGTGACCTAGCATTTTTAAGTGTGGAAAAAGAAAAATTTTAAATGAACAATTTTGATGATATTATTGATACATTTGCTTCATCAAAAGCACGAAAAATTTAGAGATAGTAATTAGTTTTATTAATGTATTATAATCATATGATTATTAATCATATGTATTATTAATTTGCGAGTATATTTTGCATATAATATTATATGGTTTTTGAATAGGGGGCGCTAAAAGGGTATTGTGCCCCGGGCGCGAGTTAAGCTCGCTACGCCACTGGTAACTCTCCAAACATTATTTAGACAAATGATTAATCTCTATGATTAATTATAACTTTCTTTCTTCTGCATGCAAGTCAAAAAAGGTTTTCTATCAGCAAGATTGCGCACATTAAAGAAATTTGAACTCATAATTTTTATAAAATAGTAGTAAAAAAAATAACGAACAAACTTCTTTAGTGAACTAAAAAGGAAGGAAATTATTGTGACAATCTAATAGGTATTCAGTAAATAACAAATGAATTCTTATTAGGTCATGCTAAGTATAATAGAATATTAAATATCAAGTTTCAACTTTTGAAAGAGAACAACTAATTGAAAAATGAATTATTTTTGTCAATCATACTTTTTATCCAAAGAAATTACATAATTTGATAAATACAAATACATAAATTTGAAGAAATATCCAATATGTAAAAATTGCTGATGCAATTGTAATCATAAATATAGTTTTTTTCCATAACTAAAAGTAGCACAAGAATAATAAAAAAGCTAAAGTATAATATAAAGCTGTTTCTGTCAATACTATAAATATTATTTTTAGTGCATAGACAGATAATGAGATTTTCTTTCATCACAGCAAACATGAAATTTATTAACAGCAGCAAATTACCTAAATGTCTATAAACTATATCTGGATTTTTGCTTCTTATTACATAGGTTTATATTTTGATAGAATATTATAAACACATCCTAAAATTGAATTAAAATCCAAATATTTTAAAATCTAAATATCTTCACCCCTAAAATCTAAATGTTTTCAAAAATTGCAGAATTACATAATAAAACATAATTTTGGTGTCAAAAAGTAACACTTACAATCTTCTTCTTTCCTTTTCACTTCAACTTTTCCTATTACTCTATAATGGCCATAAGGTTCAGGCAAAGAAACAGCTAATCTATAAGATACAATAAAATAAAAATGTTTTGTCAACAATTTAATAAGTAATAACAGTAATATGGAAAACTTAAATTTTAAGCATGAAAGAACTGAAACAGATGGTAATAAAGTAGAAGTTAAGAATTTAAAACAAATTTTTCTGTTTTGTTTCCTCCATTTGGTGATTTAATTTTTCATATTTATTTTAAATAATTTTCACGGACAACTAGCATTTTGTTATTATCTTTTAAAATTGCTAATATCAATAATGATTTTTTTCTTTCTTTCCAGAAATAAAGTAATGTAGAAAATCAAAGTTTTTGGTGCTCAAATATCAGGAATAACCATCTATCCTGCATATTCCAGGAAATTAAGCTTTTACTCTCAGTCAAATTATAGAATTAGAAAATAAGTTTTATTTCTATATCTTTAGATAATTATTTGAACAAACCCTTGTAGACAAAATTCCATACTTCTATGAGAGAGAATGATGAAATTTGAAGAATAAAAGTCGATAAAATGTTATGCTACTATGAAATGTATGATAAATGTTACGATAAAATGCTGTTAGTTTTAAGGACTGAAATTTGAAAAAGAAAAATATCCATATTTATTTTGATAATATTGGCAAAAATCTTGGGTCTTAAATGATTTATTTTCTTAGGGACAGCAGAGAAAGAGAACACTTCAGGACCTGCTAAATGTTGTGCCTAAGAACTTACAAAGTCTAGAGATATTCTGAAATTGAATGTAATAAAACTTTTCATTACAGTAAATGAGTAAAAAAATAGTGAAGTGTACGTTGAATGGAACTTTTAGTATAGATATAGGGGCATCAGATATAGTAAAAGACTCTGCCTCCTGTTTTTTAACACTCATCAATTGCTAGGAAAAGGACTCATAACAGAAAATTTTTTAATGCTTTGGCTTCGCTAAGGCTCCAACAATTTTAATATATATTTATATGTGATTTTTAATTTCAGATTTGAAACTTTTATTACAAAGAGAAACAAAATAAGCAAATAAATAAAAAATAACGTAATCATCAGCTCACACTTAAAATATAAATTTAATATAATTCCCAGTTCAGTTAGTTGTTCATTCTTAAGAAAATAATTGAATCTAATAAACTTAGAACTGATCTTAAATCATTAAATTACAAGAATAGTTTTCCTACCACAACTTGGGTAACAGACAATGTCGTTACAATGCAGCAGGCTTCTTGAATGTTTGTAGGACACAATGAAATTTCTGAAACATTGATGCATGAGTATGATAGAGCTTTCACTGCTTTGATTCTAACAAAAAGGAGCAGTAGCAAGGAAGCCACTGTTGGCTATAAAATCCCAAGACAGGGGGCCGCATCATAAAAAACATCAGATTCGTTCAAAGGGAACTTACTTTATTTAAAAACAATTCTTTCAATTTTTATCAGTATTTCGGAAGAGACACTGGAATGTTCACAAATCCCATCGTGACAGAGGGAACCTCAGATGAAGCATCTGCTCCCCTCTATAATAAATCTATTTCTTATTATATGTAAAAGTGATTAACTTATCCAAATGAATTAGGCTGCATAAATTTAAGTCTAAGCTAAATCTTACTTCGAGCATGATCGACAATGGAATATGCGTCGATCCAGGTATTCGAGCCTGTTAAGGTTTACCTTTACAGTTAAATGGTAGGTACTAGGCACAATGGGAAAAGTAATTTAAGAAAATTAGGCAGTGGCCAGAAGGCTGAAATGGGGGGGGGGTTGTGATAGCATTAGCACAATGGGGGAAATTTAGAGCTACAGCTCCAAGGAAAATAAAGCTTAGGAGTGATCTGGCTCCAGCTCTCTACCCAGGAGAATCGCTTCGCCATGCTACACTATTTCTTATACTATAATCATAATTACAATAAAATACTTTTGAAGAAAATATCATAAAGGGAAGCATGCTAACAGTTACTATAGAAGAGTTTAAAGGCAAATAAACAATATTAATAAAATATGAGCAACATAACAACATAGAAACTAGACAATAACTATTTCTGGAGATAATAAGAAGGAAGACTCAAACACTTACGAAAAAGGAGTGTCATCAATAGGTCCATAGTAGTAAGAATTATTCCGAGTAACAATTCTTTTCTGCTCCAGATAAAAAAAAAGAACATTAAAATAAGTAACAAAGTAAAAAACCCAAGGAAACAGCAAAATTATTTGTATAATAAACAAAAGCAGTAATAAAGGTAAGAAAAATTCATAAAAATGAATTATATTAAAATCTTAATGGATTGCTAAATAGCAAGATAATTCTAAGATCATATTAGATCACTTCATTATCACAAATTAAAAGAATGCAAAAATTTAATTTATGAAACCTATTGGGAAAATAATACATTATTTGTTACCAATATTATACTTATAATTTTTTTTAATAATTAAATATGGTTAGGAATAATATTTAAAAAAAAAATTCATGTTTATAAAAAATTATAATTTACTTTAATTTTTTTCTCTAGCAAAGTAAATCTGTGACAGAATAAAATGTAAACAGTTTCTTAGAAAGTGTTAGGTAACTAGAAAATTTTAGTTTCTTTTAGATGAGGCAAATTGCAAATAACTTTAGGCATGCATTGCAGACGAGACAGGCTCAACCAAACCTCGATACCAGCATTATAAAAAAAAAAAAGTTTTCAGAAACTGATGGAGAACTTACTATAAAATTTAAATAAATTATTTTTTCTACCCTAAAAAAAAACAAACATACAAGAATCTGTTTAGTTAAGTTATTCGGTATAAAATATATGTAAAAATTATTAAGAATTTAGAAATTTTTAATATCATGACCTGAAAATATTTAATTTTAAATAATGTATTATATATGTTAGCAAATATTTGCCCTATAAATAGCTTCTAAGAAATTCTCAGTGGTTTTACTTATCAAATCTTTTACTTGCTCAAATCAAAAGATTTTGGGATTACTCTACAAAAGTGAGTTTGAGCTCACCTATAAACGAGTCTGTTTGTAAGCACTAGTTTGAGTAGAGCTATTTTCAATACACTCGAACTGGCTACATTTTCCCCTTAAGAAGTTTCAGTTAATGACATCATCATCATTGGCACGACAGCCCAGGGTGGGACATAGTCTTCTCTAGAAGATTTCTTCATGTCATTCTTCTTGTTACCAGATCTTACCACTTCAAAATGCTGATTATTTTAAAATCAAAATGATTGAGTCATTCAAGTTTTAGATGCTTTCTAGCTTTACAAACAACTGGTTTGTGTAAGAATATCTTATGAGTTGAACTAGTTGTATCTAAACAAATGTGCCAAACAAATCTCATTTTTTTTATTTTATTATTATATCTATGTCCTCATAAATTATGAAAATTTCTGTTTGATCTTTTTCAGTAGAAAGTGCCCTCTTTGACTCTGCCAAAAATGGTTCGCAAGATTTTTTCCCACAAATGGCTAACATTAGCTTCTTTCTTTGGGACAGCCTAAGTTACAGATGTATAAATAAGGACTGGGCATCTAAAAGTTTTTGCACAGGAGTAGTTTTGTATGTCTCTTTATGCATGCTGATCTTAGGCCATTTAAACACTTTTATAATATTATTTTAACTTCTATTACTTTATAAAATTTATTGTGGTTTAGTTTTCAATACACAAAGAGTTTCAGTAAAAATCGTGAATTAAAAAACATTTTAATTTAACATAAAATACTACATAAAGGTATCTCAAATTCCTTCCAGTATTAAGTGGTTGTAAAAAGAAGAATAGTAACAAAAGGGTTTCTCTGAAACTAAATAAGTTCCACTTTTCTGAGGAAACAATTTGAGCACACCAACAAAAACTGGGAAAAATGTAGAAACTAAGTGAATACGACACTAAAAAATTGAGGAACATAAAAATTTTTAGACAATTAATTAAGGAGAACTACTTACAAAGCCTTCGATTGGAATTTTCACAGCCATTTTCCCCCAACCTATTCTTCTGTCTACCATGTTTTTTCTTATCTGAAACAACATAAAAATTTCATTAGTAACGGAAAAGTTAAAAGTAATTTTAAAATAAAATAAAATTTCATACTTACTATTAGCAACTGATCTTCAAATTCCTTGAAACAGACATAAAAAATACAAGTTGCAGATAAAAAGAAAAATAAACAATTGATTTTGAACACATATGAAAAGCAATAAATTTGCAAGTATTAAAAATTAATTACTGTCAAATCTATCATAAGATCATAAGGATTAGATTACTTCCACGAATTTTTTTTTTAAAACAAAATAAAATAAATCAGGATATTCAGGGTTTATAGGAAATGTAAAAAATTTTGATGTAATATCCATTATTACACACATTCTCATATAAAAGTGCTTTATTATGTTTATGAAAATAGAATTTCTAACCACTTCTAAATTTTATAACTCTAAATTAGCAGATCAGTTGGGGAATTTACCCATAACATTCACACACTCATGTGCGCTCTTGGTAAAAATAAGAGCTTTACTAAAATATTCGTTAATGTGTTTTCTTTTAAGTTATAGCAGTTTGAGCACACAGTTTTCTGATACAATTTATAATAAATGGAAACTGTTTCTAGAGACACCATTTATTAAATATACATGCGCCATCTAATAAAGTGACTCAGGTTCAAATTCTGATCAATTTGTATACAGTTCCTAAAACTCAGCAGTCACATTATTGAAGAAAAATATTCCCAGTGTTAGTTGAATCATTAGTTAAAGTCTCCTTGTCATTGGAATGTGCAGTTTTCTTCTACATGCAATGTGAAACAAGATTATTTTCAAACAAAAAGTCTTTAATGAAGAAGTCCTAATGATTTATCCAGAAGTTCCCTAGTCTTTGTTGCTGGGTTAAAAATTACATACATGTTGAACATCGATTTAGCCACAACTACAATATCGATTATCTGCTCAATGTCGGTGATGAAATGAAATAAAAAACCAAGAAATAATCAAGAGTGCAATAGCATACTACATAATCTTTCAATAATGCTTGCAGATTAGCATTTCTTATTTTTCGCTTTTGAATGTGTGAAATTTTCACTGTGAAATTTTCATGGGTTTTCATAAATTCATAAATACAAGTCAAATTAAAGTTTCAAACCAGAAAATAATTTTAATAAAGAAGAACACACTGAAAACAGAGTTTAATAATACAAGATAAAGCAATTAAACTAAAACTGTCAAAAAGAAAAAAAAAAGGGGAGAAAGACTACAGACATATTTCAATACAGAGGGAGTAATTTATACAAAGTTACTTAAAACTACAACTTTGTTTTCACAATAAATAATCATATGAGTTGGCTATGTTAATAAGATTGAAATTTTCAAGGATATTATCACAGAGAACAAAAAATAAGAAAGAATAACTTACATACAAACCGGAATTTGTGTCAACTAGTTCAACCTCTGTTAGGTCAACATTTCTGTATCCTGGCTTAAGTAACTCTTGAAACTGTAAGAAAATATTTCATATCATCCCAGAATAGTACAAAAGATTGCATTTTAATCCAATGTTTCAATTTTAAAAAAATTATTAAGGTCTTGGCATACTAAAACTGTTTTAGTATGCTAACCAATTACATTTTTAAGGCATTTAATTTTTCAATTACTTCATTAGAAAAATATTGTTTTTATTAGTTCCTTTAGTAAAATTATTTTTATACAAAGTACTATCTGAAATACAGTAAACATAATATGCACTGCAACAAAATCTACATTTTGCATTGTAATGCATTTTACTTAATTTTTTCTTCTTCTTACAAACTGCTAAAATAATGGTTATTAAGACGTTTCTTGTACAATGGACTTACATACCTGGTAATAAAAAATCAAACAAAGTATGAGCAAGTGATAAAAATACAGTAAAAAAAAGAAAGAAATATTATTATAACTTTTGATTTAATGATCAGTTTGACATACACTAAGATGCAATCTTAATAGTTCAAAGTGCTAATCTTAAATATGCCAATTAATTTCTGCGGGTGATATTTTAAGTTAAGAAATAAGATACAGAAACATAATTTCTTTAAATAAAGAAACTTTTTTTCAAGGGATTTTGATTCTTCATCTTCAAAATATGGAGCAGACAAAATTTGGAAAATATGGACCCAATAATTTAGACAGGTGAGCAATTGAAAGTTAGAAACCTTTCCCGTTCATTTTTCACACTGAATAATATATATGAAGAAAAAAAAATTGTATTCATAAATTTTTATTTCTTTACCGATTCTATTCAGATTTCGTATTTTGTCATTTAAAATTACATAGTTAAAAATTTATGCACTGCAAAATTCAAATACTTTTTTATCATTATTACAATCAATAATAAATAATTAAACTAATTATTTTGTTTTACACAGATTTTACTTTGGATAAACGAGCTAGACATGCATGTGTGTAAAAAGTTTTTGACTTCTTAATTAGTTCCAGAGACATGGTGAAATATTCAAAAAGTCAAATTAATATTAAGGGACCAAATTCTTGACCACACTCCTTTCTTAATCATCGAAACCATTTTTTTAGATTTCAGCTCACTCCCATATTTTGAGGGCCAAGAATTCAAATGAGCTGTAAAATGTTATGGTTTAATCAAACGAAATAATTTAATTGACAAGCATTTTAGCGTATTTAATATTAGTTCCTCAAATCATTAAGATTGCATTGTAGCATACCTGCCAACATTGGAGAAATAAAACAATGGAGATTTTACTAGCAAGATTTTTTTCAGGCTACAAGTAAAGTTTTGATACATCAAACATAATCATGTAAGTCAAAATTGGAAATAATATAAGCACTTACATTTAACGAAGTAAAAAATAAGTAAATAAATCTTAATCTTAAGAAGATAATTTTAAATCATTATTTATAATTACCTAAACTATTAACACTCAACATACTGCAGTACTGGCAATAACACCATTTGTTGAGGAATAAGAAGTATTTTTGCCATCAGCGGATATTTTATAGCCATTTTTTCAAAAAAAAAAAAAAAAAAAAAAANAATGTCTTCTACATATATGGAGAAACTTGGATATGGAAAACTATACGGGTAAAAAGGAGATAGTCATAAAATACAGGAGTCTTCGTTAAAAAACAGGAGACTTGGCAGGCATGTTGTAGTTCACGAAATTCAGATCAAAAGTTATTAAGGTGTTCCATTTTCTTATTTTGTTACCGTATATCATATGTTTTATTAAGAGCATATCTAATTCCAGAATAATTTTTTTTAAAAAAAAAGACTACTAAAGGAATTAATATAGATAACATATATGCAAGTTCGAATCTATATTGTCAAATCTCAAAAAAAGTAAAAATTGGTAGGAATTACTTATAAAAAAATACTTTTGCAAGTGAATGAAAAAAAAAATGAATAAATTCTTTTAATTCATTTCCTTTATTTGATAGAAAACATTAAAATTTTTATTTTGCCTCCCTCACTAACACATCATTCATATTAGATTATATAGAATGATTAAAATAAATCATAAAAACAATAAATAGGAAATATAAAGCTAATTTATACGAGACAAAAGTTTTTTTTTTCGTCTAAAAATTTGACCATCATTCCTATTTAGATCAGGGCCTATAATATAATAATTATTACAGTGCCTAGTATGAGGAAGAAATACACAGTTTGCTTACAGTGTAAAATAATAAAGAACAAAGAAAGGAGAGAATAATAATTTGAAGGATGTTGAAAAGTGCTATATTTGTAAAATTTAAAATCAAGAAATTGATGATTGAGAAATGATTCGAGTTGTTTAAGATATGAATGAAAAATTCTGTGTAACAATTATTTTTAAAGTAATAGAAAAAATTATTCTATGAGACAAAAAAAAATTATATAAAAATTTAGAAAAAGTTATGGGAAATGAATTTAATTTAAGAAATAAGTGCTGATATTAGTTCAAAACATTTTAATAAACGTGTGATATTAAGTAGCATTGAAAAAAATGTTACCAATGGTCTAAGCTCTGGATGAAAAAGTACATGCCCATTATTTGTAATTGCAAATGAATAAGCATTGACTCCAATCTAAAAAAAAAAAGAATAAATATTTTAATGCACATAATACAAACTTTTAACAATACATGAAATACGACAGACACTGCAACCGCTATATGAAATAATAAATTACAAGTGTCTAAAAAAAGCAACAAAAAATATTTAATATAGGTTTGGAACTTAGTCCTTGCCCCTACAATTTCTTTAATAAATTCTTAAATAAATGTAATAAAAATAATTGCATATGTTACTTTGTAATAGTAAAATCAAAATCATTTCGAATATAAATCTTAAGATACTAGTAAAACTGTTTTAGTTAATAAGTGGATGTGTGTGTGTTTTTATTGCAAGCAAATTATTATATTTTTAAAATTTGCTCTAATTTTTTTTATTTATTTTTTATGTTAAAATTTACTTTATTTAAAGTCAAATAGGAAAATACAGATATTTTTTTCTTAAATTTACGGAATAGTTAAAGACATTAAATTCTAAACATGTAGTAAAATGAGTCACACACTCAACGCTATCTATCACAAAAATAATTTCAAGTATACAAAGTAGAAATTTTTTTAACAAGATTCGTTCAAAATTTTTTATTTTGCTCATAATTGAATTTCTAAGATAGTTTCAACTTCTTTTTAAATGTACAGTTCTGAATAGTACATATTGTAAAAGCTGTAAGGTAACTTTATTGACCGTCTGGCAGTTAGAAATAGAAAGTCACATAATGACTTGCAGTTTGTTCTGCATTGTGAAACCAGAAAATAAACAGTGAAGAGGTGTACAGGACAGAGCTTGCAAAGCAAATAGTAAAAATTGTAGAATTGAATAACTTAACTAAGTATATTCTTCCATCAATGCATGGAGATTTCTTAAACACATAGTGAATATTTTAATGTTCTAAAATAAATTCTCTTAAAAAAACAAATATGATTAAGAAGATTTGATTGTTAAGAATAATAAACAGCAATTATTAATAACAGCAGTTTTCTATACGCTAATATTCTCCTTACTCTTTTAAGAAAAAAAAAACCTCACTTAATACCAAGTACCAAAAATTCCAGATAAGAAGAAAAATGCAATCTTACTGCCATGATTAAAAAATAAATAGAAAAAAGTCACATAAACAGAACCCATCTGTGATTGGTCAAAATTTGCTTCAGAGCATTAAATATTATTGTACTGAGTGATCGATGTAAAAGACATTCTGAATAAAAAGAATGCAGAGTTCAGAATCAGTTGCAATTAGTATCATGGTGATCTTGGCCTTTTTTTCCTTCAAAACCAATGCTAGCCATTAAAACTTGAATCAAGTTTTATCAGAAAAGGAGAACTCTAGGCACTTTAAATATATTTTGATTCTTAGTAATTCATTGTAATTTTGATATGAAAAACTGTTTCTATGTGAAAAAATAGCTCCTTGGCCGAAAAATGTTGAATAATAATAAAAAAAGCATAAATGAAGTAAAAAAGCAATAAATGAAACTCTATAAGAGCAACAATTCAAAGCAACAGTGTTTTTCAGGCTCAATAGCTAAAATGTTTACTTGAAAACTTTTGGTAACCAAAATTTATGAAAAAATGAGTAATTAAAAATGAGTACTTTAAAAACATACTAATTTAAACAATGTTAAAAAATTACTTATATTTAATTTACTATAATACTGTAAAAAGGAAATAAAATTTAAAGCTGATTTGATTTCTCGCCACAAATTATTTTACTAATGCAACAATAAATAAAAAAGTACATAGAGTGAATATGAAAGATACCTTATAAGCTCTTGTTAATTTAGTAATTTCCCTGATAGGAACATCAGTACCAGCCACTCCCAATAAACTAGCGGACTTGATCTAAAAGAAAGTTTATTCCAACTTACAGAAAAATAAAAAAAATAAAAATCTTACAAGAATAAAGAAGGGAAATACGTTGCAAGTTTCGCAGAAATTTAGGCCAGTATACTTACATTTCGTTTATCAAATACTGGAGTGGCAACTGTAGTCATTAATTGAAGAGGCTGAAAAGGGTAACATTAGAATTATAAACTTATAATTAGTAACATTAGAATTATAAACTTATATACATAAAAATAAATTAACTTTTTATTACAGAGATCAATAATACTTTTTAATTTGTTAAGTAAAGTTCTTTGGGAAAAAACCCCAATTATTAACATAAAAACGTTATGTTACAGCAAGCATTCACTAAACCACTTGTCTTTTTGCATTCTTGTCTTTAAAAAATTAGATAACTAACTTCATTTTTAAATTAAATGTATTAAAATGCTATGAACAGGCTTGGGTTTGAAATTTGTGGCAGGAAAAAACAATGAAATAAAACCCTTATAAAAAACCTATCTAAATAGGCTGATTATTTACAGAAATTCATGCTGTGACTAACTTGAAACCCTACTTATGGCATGTGAAACAAAAGATTCTATTTTAATTTGTTTTAGTTATATTATTTGTTTTGATGTTATCTACTTTTTCTTTCTTATATTACTTTATACATTCTACCCAAGGCAATGCCTTCTACAAAATGAGAACTAAAATTAAGAAAAACAAAGATGAAGAACAATCTGTTGAAAATGTCAAAATTTAGTTGTTGTTAGACGAATGTTTTTTTCAATCTAATATTTCCAAATATTTAAAATAAATATATAAATAAGTTATTCCTCTTTCCTCTGCATCTTAAATATTTTTGCAGTAAGTAAATTTTAATTAACATTTTAATACTTATTTTAAATTTATTAATTTTCAAGTCCATTATTTCTTTACAACTTTTTACGTGTTTTCAGGTCATTATTTAATATTTTTGTTGACCTGCATTCGCCACTTTCCCATATCTATACATTGTAATGGATTGTTCCAAGGGAAACGAGCAATCCAGATTCAACTGTACACGCTACCAGCAATGCATGAAATTCGGTATTTTATATAATACCTAGAATTGGCCCACAAAGAATGAAATGATTAAACATTATTTATTAATTTAAACATTATTATAGAATGTTTTATCTTCAAAGAGGTATTGCAACATTTTCTATCAAGTGGTGGAGAGGTGTTAGAGGAAATATATCTATTTTTATCTATCCAAAAATGATGAAATTGATGTAAAAATGCTAAATGATTGAAAACTGCATCACGAAGAAATGGTAAGATGCAGCAGTTTAAACAAATTTTACACCACATTTTTCTTTTCAATTAAATAAATATAAAACAAAGGCATATAATAAATGCTATTTTTTTGTTGTTATAATTATGTCAAGTTTAATATCAATGTAAATATTTATTATAGATAATTTAATTATTTCTATATCATTGCTTTTATTCCAAACAATTAATGGCATTAGCCTTCGTTGCTAGCTTACTTTTCCTGTAAACAAGTAACTCTGATAAACAGACAATTTTTTTAGTTTCAAGAGTGTCTGCTTAACCAAGGTTTCCCTGTAATAATAATTTTCATTTTTCATACTTTGCCTCAAAACACTAGGCATCCTATATAATGTAAATGCTTTATATATTTCCAGTAACATACAGATAAATAAATCATAACTACATTTTTTAAAGACAGAATCATATTACAGATATAGTTCATTTAAAAATCCAGGAAAATTACAAGCCAAATAATAGAAATTTTTTTTAAAAAAAGGTTTCAAGGGTAAAAATAGAATAATAACACTTAGTATTAATCACAATTAGAACATAATAGGGTACACACCTGTTTTTTCTTGAACCTACTACGAGGAATCTAATACATAAATAGCACACGCAGAATGTTTCATGAGATAATGTAAAATTCCAGAATGCAGCATGCAGAGAAATATAACAAATGCACACTGTTAAAGAGTTATCAATTAATATTTCAAGTAATACAAAAGACATCTTCCGTTAAAATAATGCAAAAAAAAAAAGCATCATTCCAAATTTTAGTTCAACACACAATTTTTATTGGTTGTTATAAAAAATCAAAGAAAGTTAAAATAATAAGATTAGTTCAAAACTAATTTTACTTTTTATAATTTTTATTAAAAACACAATTTCCTATTCTATAGTTAATTTTTTTATATTAATTCATCAGTCTAAATGAGATTAA